TTTAATTCACTGACTGAAATTCTGTGGTTCAGTAGAGGTAAACATACATGTTTATTTGAATGTTATATCACTTTATACCTGCTTCTCCACTAAAATTCATCCCAGAAACAAATATTTCCTGTAAAAGTTAATACATGATGCATAATGAAGGTGATGAATATCAAGTGTTTTGACTCCACGAAATTTGGCTGAAAGGTTTAGTTATGTGGGGGAAAAAATCATAAGATGTGATCATTTTGAATGCTTGAATAAAAACAAAGGGTCAACTAATATATCATAGATTCCTTGTATTGTATTATGCCATGTCATAACTGTCCTAAGTATCATGAAAAAGCAAAAGAGTCGTACATACATGTCATATAACTGAAAAATCAATGCCTGTCCATACCTATAAATTGAGTGGAACCTGTTCTCTGTCCACAGATTCCAGTCAAACTGTGAACACACGGTGTGTGTAGTAGACAGGATGGATGGGAAAGTCAAGAAGCAGAAGCAGCATCAGCAGAAGCACAGCGGCCCAAAGGCAGAGAAGAAGAAGCTGAAGAAACAAAATGGCTCAACAGAGGAGGATGAACGCAAACGCAACCCCAAAGCATTTGCAGTTCAGTCTGCGGTCCGCATGGCCAAAACCTTCCACAGGTCAGTGTTGTGCGTTACATAATAAGATGAGTCAAGTTCATGTCTTCAGACTGTGCTGGTGTTTATTTTTGTTTGTTCCTCAAAAAGGGCCCAGGACATAAAAACCAAAAAACACCACGTGCCTGTTGTAGACCGGACTCCCCTGGAACCGCCTCCAATTGTGATTGTCGTTGTCGGCCCCCCTAAGGTCGGGAAAAGCACCCTGATCCGCTGCCTGATCAAAAACTTCACCCGGCAGAAGCTCACAGACATATGTGGACCTGTAACTATCGTTTCTGGTGAGCAGAAACTCCTGAAACACCAAACTTTACACCCGACACAACACAGTCAGACAAGTCCTGAACACACCTCCACTGCTAGAGTCCAGTGATGGTGTGCTGTGCACCACTGCATCCGTAGAGAGTGTCATCGCGGCTTTAGCACAACCTTCATTAAAACTTCAGCAAAGGGCCTTAAAAGAGGTTTTGGCCTTGGTGAAACAATAAATACGCAGCCACAAAAACATTTAAATACACAGTAATAAATCTTTTTGTATGAGTCCATAATGTTACTTTATTTATTTGCATGTGTGCGTTTATGTTAATTGGTTATTTTATGCTGCTGCAGGCAAGAAGCGTCGGCTGACTTTCATGGAGTGTAACAATGACATAAACTCAATGATCGACCTGGCAAAGGTGGCTGACCTGGTAAGTGTTTCAAAAGAACTGAAACTGATACGTTAAATCTGCCTTTATTGGGTGAGAAGAACATGAATGTCATAACTAGGGCTGCACGATTTTTCGGCTTAGAATTGAGATCACGATTCTCTCACGATTTTCTTTTCCAGTATAAATATTTATTGCACTTATTAACTGCACATCAACTTCGTAACAGTTGAGACTGAACATAAAAACA